GATTAATCGAAGAAAGATTTTGTTATCGAGCCACCGTGAATAAAAGCGAGGTCGCGATGTTAGCGTACAAAAACGCGATTGAAGTCGTAGTCTAGATTATCGATTGATCGCAACTGCTTTTCAGTCGGGATTTCACATCAGTTAAAGCGTCTGACTGTATGTAGATTGAATGAGTAAATCTGCATCGTATGAGATCCTACGATACACAGGAAATCGTTTTTGGATCCTATGAAATCCTACATAATCTTATCATAGGAACTCATGTGCTTTCTGTTAGGATAATGTGGTACTTCTTACAGGATTCTATCACCTGAATCCTCTACAATATCTTACACTTGGAAACATTGCATTCTCTGTTCCGATCCACCAAGAAACTTGTTTCTTTGACCACTGACTATTGGATGATGGGTTATGCACGTAAGTCTGCCGGACTTCTAGTGCTTTATTAAAACAACTATGAAAGTAATTTTGATTTATACTAGTAGTTGTCGCGCTGCTCTTTCTTCTACGACCTAGAAAGGCTGATTTGAATGGCATCTTGTTAGAGAAAAAGGACCACGAGTGGAGCGTTTTGCTAGATCGGTTCGAAAAAGCGGAATTTATGCAAACAACTGAGATGCCGGGCCCTGTATTCTTCTTTTGCATAAATTCCGCTTTTTCGAACCGATCTGGCAAAACGTACATATTGCGATCGTTTTTTCGCTATAAAAATGGCATTCAAATCAGCCTTTTTAGTTCGTAGAAGATAGAGCAGCTCGACAACTACTAATATGCATAAAAGTTCCTTTCATAGTTGTTTAAAAAACTCAGCCGATTGATTATCGATTAATCATCGATTGGTTATCGACTAATCAATGACTCATTTTTATTACATAAATTTTTGCAAAGAATTTGCCATATATACTCACCCTTTACAGCGTGCCTATAGCAAATAACTTCATTTAAATTATAACTTCACTTATCCACTTTTCTTAGAGTGTTAAATGACTCTCAGAAGTGACGTAGCCGGTCTACAAGCAGTAGATCAAGGGCAGCCGCAAGGCGCCTAGGAGAAGAACTCCGTGCCTGAGACTCGAGTCTCGGCGCGGAGGACTTGTTCCGTCGAATCAGATCGCCGGGAAAGGGGATCCTGACCTCACTAGAGGAATGGAGGTCCCATGGGTGTGGGCCGAAGGGATAAGAAAAAAATATTTCTGATTATCTAAGGAATTTAACTAGTCACAATTAGACGTGACTTCGCTAATCGCGATTAATCGGAGTATAATTTTGGTTCTCAACTAATCGCAATTTTTATTTAATACCGCCCAACGTCGCACGATTATAAATGTCATTTAAACGGATTTGTCGATTGATTGCGACTGTTCGGTATAAACAAAGCTTCGCGATTGTAGGCGACCCTGTTCTCGACTGAGATAAATTGTAGCTGTTCGCTGAATCTAGAGTAATCGCATTTAAAACGAAACCGCATATATCGCCATCCAAAAATAATCGAGATTTCACGGATAGCATCCCGATTTCTAATTCGAACATAATGAAACGCGAGCGAACAGGAGATGCGGCTAAATCTGATTTATTTCTCGGTCACAATCAAACTCGATCTGAATTTCAGCTTCGAACAGCTCCTAAAAATACTGATCGCGTTCAATCGAGACTCAAACGTAATCGGGATTTTATAGGATGAAATCGCGATGAATNAATGCTGCGCTAATCGAGACTGTTATATGACATGACGATTAATTGCGATTTTGATTGAATCGCCATGAGCTGTGACGGTCCGATTAGCCGGTTACCAAAACGATCAAGCCAAAAAAGCCTCATGGGTAGTGACACGTTTACAATGGCGCTACTGTTCGCGCCAAAATGCGAAAAGTGATTTGAATAAAGAGATACTTTTCTGCCCATACATTTATTCAATAAGCTATTCAGAAAAGAATTTAGACTGATTCTGTTCAGCGTATAAAAAGTCGATTTTGCGATAATGTTCCATTTGATTATAAGCTGTTAAAATTGACAGATCATGCAAAAAGATGTGAACGCTATCCGAAAGTCAAAATTATCATATACTCTTCGAATAAAAAGTGTCTTTTTTGTATCTAAGAAATAGCTTGTTAATACAGACAATCTTTTCAAATTAACTTTTTGTATTACAAATGTCAGATATGGTGAACAGCAAAAAAAAGAATTCTGCAGACGATTTGAAAGCTGCCATTAGCAGCAATTTAGATTCAAAAGCAGTGTCGAATGTTCATACTGTTCCTTCCAGTACAATCCGTACACATAAAACGAAACCTTTAGTCAGTATTGGTGCTGGTCGTAAAACTTATTTGTAAAATGAGCAAGAAAAATATTTAATATCATTGATACAAACATTACCTGATTATGGATTTAGATGTACAACTGAGTTATAGATGAATATATCAGAGGATTATATGAAGTCATTTGGAATTGTACACAGACCTGGTGAAAAATGGTTACATAAGTTTATCATCGAAATAAAAATGATATAAAATGGAAAAAAGAACAAAAGCTGGAACGATTGATTACGTGCAGAAAAGTTCACTGGAGCAATAAGACAAGCTTGGTTCAAGCTTTTAAAAAAGAATTGGCGAGACGAAGTTTGATGGATAAACGGTTTATCCATCAAACTTAGTCTCGTCAATTCTTTAAAAATTCATAGTTAAAAATTTCTGATGGCATCGCAAATTTTTAACTGTGATGAAACAGAGTTTGCGGACAGAACAGAAGATTCCCATTTGTGTTCCGATGTTAATTCAAGTGTTCGCCATGTGTTTAAGACTAGCGGACGTGAATATCAATAGGTTTTTATGATAGATCTATATCTTTCAACATAACTTATCTCCGGTTTTTGTTATGTCTGGTTGTTTTAGGTACTGGTAGACGCTATACAACTGTATTAGTTGCTATTGGCGCTGCCGGACAAGTACTTCCCCATATATTGTCTATGCCGGTAAGAGTTTGATGAGTACATGGTGTAGAGGTGGTTCAGATGGTACACATTATACGGTAACGTCACGGGGATGGATAGCCAGAAAATACCAGTATGGGTTTGAACAAATTTTTATTCCATCAACGTCACACATTAGTCGTCCATTATTACTCAAAGTTGATGGTCATACATCTCATATTAGTTTAGAATTAACTGATATCGTGACGAAGAATCTAGCTACAATATCACAAACATATTTTTCAAGTGAACTGAAAAGAGTTCCGTTCAGCGCATCCATTTCGTGTTTTGTTAAAAAGAAAAAATGTCGCCCGCGGGGCTCGCCTTGTACAGTTCTTGCCTCTTTCAGCTTTCAAAAACTTTCCTTCGCGAGGGCCGTTCTATGAGGAATCGCGAGGATCCTCGCCCATCACCCACCTCTGGTATACGTGCACACTTAAAAGCAATACTTGAATTAAATGTTTCTGATCCCATCAAAGCTAAGTGAGTAGTTATAAAAATAGCTTGACATGTGTAAGTGTGTAAAATGATGCATCATCATATCCCTAGGAAATTAGATAATTTCTGTATGTTCTAGGAATGATCCATTAATCATAAGGCCATTGCGAAGAAATATTTTGTTGCTATCAGTTGATATTCCTTCGTCCACAGTGCCCATTCCCTTGTCGTCGAATATTACAAATAGTACACTAACATGTAGCATCCCTCCGATTTCAGCCATCATACTACTAGCTTCTACGTCGCCACCACCAGCACCTGCTTCACGGTCTCGGTCGCCGACGTTGTTGACAGGTACGAGGTCAATAGATCATGATATCCAATCAAAACGACAAAATTATAGTGCTACATAAATACTGTGATCAATAAATCAAAGTGTGTTCTTACTAAATATCTCACCCTTGACAACACCAGCTTCACTAGCTTCTGCTCCATACAAATTCAAACTTACTGTTGTGTGTTACAATAGCAATTAATCATACGTTTTTGAGACCAGTATTGACAAATACTTCGTTTAGAACAAATAAGACTCTTCAGCATCCAGCCACATAACAATACTTGCTTCTTCACAGCAAAATGCCACACTACACACAACGAAATTGCCAACAGTACAAGCATTAGACAGTGCGCAACAACGTGGACATTAGGTGAAAAAATGAAAGTGAGATTTTTGACTAATTTACTTGGGAAAAAGTTTTGGCTCTAGTATTCATCATCTTCGAGAAAAGTAAGTCGTAAACTTCAGGCTTTTTCTGATTTATCTTGTCAGATGATGCGATTTTTGAGAAATGAAATTAATATATTTGGGAAGCTGAGCTTCTGAGCTATCGGTTGGTAAAAAGATTTTGTTTGGAAGTCCTTTCTGCCTACGCAAATAAGTTTTTTTCTTAGAGTAAGCGTTTTCCCGAAACCTGTGCTTAGTAAAATGAGTTTCCGAATTTTGCCGAATGTCTACAAAGTTTTCATTTTTTTCGCCGTTCGTATAATTTGCTTAGTTTTCCTGAATGAAGTTCTGAAATTAACGTTTAGGTACCATTTTGTCGAAAAACTTACGGCGGTTCGGTTAAAAAAACAATTTGATCTAGGAAGCCTAAAGAACAGGAGCTAGTACAAAAATACCGAGGCGGCCATTATTTATAGTACACTTGTTAGAATCACCCAGCACCATCACAGGGATTTATCATTAAATTGTCGCATTTTGGAGTGTCTAACGTGAAATGCATAGATGATAAAGCAAGTTTTCAATTGATTAATAGCACGATAAGAGGAAATTATGCAAAATTACATAATTTAAAATGCAAAGCAATTTATTTCCAAAACAAAATAAATGAGATGGATCATGACAAAACGAAATTACCGTTTTAGTGAACCAACATCGAGGTATCATTACATCATATTAGAAAAGAGATGAAAAACAAACTGGGCAACAAGTGGCATCGGCTTAAGAAACGGACCGAACAAATAAATTACCGTAATAACAATGTCTTAAATAAAAAGGCAGAAAATAAGGTAGAAGAAGAAGAAGAGAATAAGGGTTCGGACACGGATATGGATCTCTCAAGCCGAAAGATAGATGAAGGTCAACGCTCATTATTGAGAAAAGGGTTGAACTTCATACCGACTCAACCTTTGAATGAAACTAAAGTTGTATCGACGCTTATAGCCGGGGTTCAAGCCGGTATTTATCGAAAAAGCTTAAGGGACAGAGAAGATATTGTTAGCGAAGTGAAAAAAGTGCTGGAGCAACAACTTAAAGCGGATAAAAAGAAGGACTTTGAAAAATTATCTAGAATGCAACGGAGAGCAATCAGAAAACTAAAGGAGGATGAAGATATTATCGTGATTCCAGCAGATAAAGGAGGCAAAGTAGGCGTAATAAACATGACTCACTATATCAAGAGAATACGAGGAAAATTAGATACAAAAGCGTAGAAACAGTTAGAAGAAGATCCGTCTACATTTATGCATAAAAAGCTAGAAGTGCTTTTATCAGAATTGGCGGGTAAAAACGAGATTGATGAGGATGAAATGGAGATATTACTAGAGAATAAGAAAATACTATTTGTGCGAGGACAGTTAAAAGTTCACAAAGCAAATAAATCAATGCGATTAATTGTATCGATGAGAGACACAATGGGATCAGCACTGGCTAAATACATCACAAATGTAACAAAGTCAGTAGCCGATAATAGCAGATCGATCAAAAATCTAGTAGTAAAAGATCTAGTTACAAAGTTGTATAAACTAAACGTTAAGAAAACAAGCAAACTAGCCAGTTTAGATATAACTTATTTATTCACTTCAGTAGAAACTTTCTTTTGCCAGACTAGTTTTGCTTTTCCACGATTCGTCATGACCTAACAATTCATTTAAAATCATGATCACTTTCTCACGATCTACTAAAGTGAATAAATCAGTTATATCTAAGCTGGTTAGTTAACTTGTTTTCTTAACCTTTAGTTTATACAACTTTGTAACTATATCTTGGGTATTTTTGGATCGATCTACTATTATCGGCTACTGACTTTGTTATACTAAACTGCGGTTTCGGTTTCCGATGAAGAACCGAAAACAAGAGAACCGCGGTTCCTGATCTGAACGAGAAACGAACATCCCTAATGGTGGTGCATGTTTCAGAATTGACAATTTGGAATGGTACGAAGATGAAAAACTGTGGATACAAAAGATGTCAGCAACAAATAAAAGTTTAGACATTGTAAAAGATTATATGGAGTATCGTCAGAAGGAAATCTGGATGTCGTTATTATGTTTAGTTATCTATTGGTTAACATGGGTGATTACAAAAAGGCATAAAAATATTTTGAAAATTTGATAAGAATTAAAGCTTAACATATCCCATTCGCTTTCTTCCAATTCGTAAATTGGTGATTTGACACTACAAAACAATAACACTTACAGTTTCTAAGCAGTGATTAACCCTTTCAGTCCCGGCTTTTTTTCGAAGAAGTGAAAAATTATTTTTTTAAATTTCTTATTTTATTTCATTTGTATTTCGTATTTCAAAGAAA